ATTACCCTGCCACAAAGCAGGGTTGCTAAAGTAAATACTCTGCCAGCGGCAGGCCTGAAAGCAGGATGGGGTCATATGTGAGGTGCAAGCAAATGATGAAATGGCACTTCTGCCTCTGAGGACCCGTGAGTGCTGCCAGCACGTGGACCCTCACGCCCTGGGTCCCCCACACCGGCAGCTCTCTGGAACACATGGGCACATTCAAACTGTGCTCCAATGTAGTGAGGGACTTGCTGGACCCAGGGCTGAGCCAAGGAGCAGTTCACCCTTTGCTGTCCAGGCAAGTGATTTGGTCGGAAAGGGGTAACAGATGTGTAAAATGGGGATGGGCTGGTTGTTTTTCTTCTGGAGACAGAGGCTCTTGGCAGGGCCCTTCAGTTATTCCCAGGCTGATGGCAAATGATTTCTAAATCTTTGGTCTATGCCGGTGAGATTTGTGTGAGCTACAGAACAGGTTGTGCCTGCACATGCAGAAGGGGAGTGGCTTTTTTTGGGAGACATAGAGGGCAACTCATGGAAGAGGAAGGACAGGAGGGCAAAGTTTTCTGTTTTTATTCCATGTGTCTTGTACGGGAGACAGGAGTTACTGTGCCAAGCGTGTTGCAGATGCCAAAAAACTGGCAGAGAGCAGCAAATGGGGATGTTCTTGTACGTATCAAGGTATCTGGCAATGGGCTGCCATTGTGTGGTGTCAGACTAGATCCTCACCACAATTGAAAGGTTTAGTGAGTCTGTGCTAAGAAAAAACCAAACAAATGTACTGTTGGTACAAAAAACACTTCCCTATGCAGCCATGGAGAGATCTGCTGAAGACCTCACTGCTGTTCCAGGAGGACCTGCTGCCATGTGCATTGTCCTTCCGATTTATGATTGCAATACTCTGATGTGCACACTTTAATAGGGCATCTTCCCTTTTGCATAGTGTTAGCAACTGCCAAATGGAAAAATCTCACACAAGAAGGGACCAAGACATGGAAACTGCTTTCTATCCGTTTGAAAAAGACAGTTACACCATTCTTATTGCCGAGCTAGATCTGAGTGCTTTTTGGAATACAAGGATCAGTTCTGGAGTGGACTGCATGGACATTTTAGGACCATAGTTATTTAATGCATTAATTATGTGTAAAAAGTGGTGGACCAGTAGTGAAGTGTTCAAGTGTGCAGATATCACACACTTGCTTAGGTTAGGCTGCAGAAAAGAGTGAGGAGCATTTAAAGGGCTGTATCTAGATTACGGAAAACATTATGCCAGATCAGTGCAGTACTGAAAAGTAGTAAACATTAGAAGAGGAAACATGAACTATTTCTACATAATTCTATGTCCTAAATTAACTGCAGCTCTTCTGGAGGGAGGACTGTGTGTCTCAGAGGATCTCCCAGATAAAACATCTGCTGAAATGCCTCATGTCACTCCAAAAGCAAACAAAATATTAAGCTTAGGGAAGACAGGAATGCAAAAGCATTCTGCAAATAGTGTAAAATAAGTCTAGGGAATATCCTCATGTTTAACTCTTTCTAGGTCAGTTCAGCCTGTCTCCAAGCAGTCATGTCAGAAAGAGGAGTTGTAGGGTCAGGCAATGGAAGTGGATTGAAACATCCGTGGGGTGGTACACTGAGAAGGCATAAGGTGCTACAGACATGGGAGAACAGGGCAGAGACACAAAAATAGCTTGTGCTAAAGAAAAGGTGATTCAAGCACTTCCATCTTCACCTCTAGACCAATTTGTGTAAACATGAGGTAAGAGGTAACAAATTTAAACATGATGAAGGAAAATCAGGCTTTAAACAACTGAGTTAAGATGCTATTCAAAGCAGAAGGTTGTCTGTGGAACTCTGTGCCACAACATGTGATTGAAGTCAAGTTCTCACCTTGTCTTAAAAAAATTGACATGTTTATGTTAAGGAAGAGAGGAGTTTCACATGTTAGATACAGGTCTATATGCAGAAGGATGTATGCATCCCTAACTGAGCATTTAGAAAAATGTCCACCCAAGAGAGGTTCAGAGGTATTTTATCAATGGACAAGTTCTTTCATTGCAAAACTTGTAGCATCCTCAAACAAAATTGGCATTGGCCATCTCAGACTGGCAGACCACTACTGCCTCTGTTGACTCCAACTCTCTCTTTCACACAGCAGACAGGAGGTGTCTACTGGCTAAAAATCTGAGAACCTGTGTGGTGTCCAATACCTGTTGTTCTTAAGCTGTCCCAATGACTGCTTAATTAAGTTAACAAGATCTTTTTGTCTCAGGGCCACTCCCTTTCCATGGAAAAATCGCAGTTATGACATGAAGTCTGGGAGAAAGGTGCAGCAAGTGGTGTACACAGGGCACCATATCACTTAGATCTGGCCCCCTTCTCACAGGTGTTCTCATCACTGTTCCAAAATGATCATCTGTTTGGGACTTAACAGGCAAAGATTGCAACTAACATTTAGGCTCAATTGTGTAATGCGAATACCAGCTTTCAATAAAGTAAAATAAAATAAAACTGTCTCACCATCTTGCCTCCCTAAAAGGATAGGTCTGGCTTAATAGAATGAATGGTGTTCCGTTTAGCTGCATTTTATGTGTTTAAATAATATGGGCACTGGGTTGTGCTTTTCTTCCCAGCAGCAGAGATGCAAAACTTCTTTTGCGTGTAGAAAAGAAATTGTCTCCTAATCACTGCATTCTGGAAAGTGCAGCTTTAGGGAAAACCCACTGGACAGCCAAAGACTCAGGAGGAAAAAAAAAGAATTAGAAATATTGGAACCTCAAATTCTAGGTCATCCCTTCTTGCCGGGGTCTGGAGGTGATGGCAGCATAAGTGTGGGGAGAGAGGGAGGGAGGTGTGTGCTGCATACGAACGCTGTGCAAGCGATTTTTATAAACAGGGAGTTTTCTCCACAAAATAACATTGGGAATATCCCATCGATAGTCTACCCCTCCACTCCTTCCACTTGAGTTAGGGGGAGGGATTTGAAGTTGGAAGGGGGGGGGGGGCGATGCATGGCTGAGCTCTCATTAGTGACCAGGGACATTTCGTTCACAATGTGGAAGGCAGACAGGGAGAGGCAGATGGCTTTGAATGCAGGATTTACATAGTAATGAGATTCAGGTCACCATAGCTGTCTTTTTTTCTCTGCATTTTGTCTAGGTGTCGAGTAGTGTGCAGGGATGACAGGGATGATGGAAAAGGGAGAAAGGGAGGAAAATTAACCCCTTCCTCATAAGGAGAAATTGGTGTTAGAAAAAAAATATTGTCACAGTGGGCTAAAGAACAGTAGAGTATGACAACAAACACAGATGTAGCTAGGAGGGCTAAAGGTAGCCACTTTTTAAGTTTCTGGCTTGTTTTTTGTGGTAATGACACAAAGTATTCTAACTTTAAAATCCCAGAATTTCCTGAAATTTTTACATTCTGCATTGCTGGTTTGAGAATAGATATTTCGCAGCTTTTATTGTTACAAGTCAACCCAAAGTTGTGGAAGTTTGTGGACTGAAAATGGGGCATGGCTTCTTGCTACAAGGCCTTTGCTTCTTTCTTTGGAAAAAATTACCCATTTTGCTTGGTTTCTTGGCTAAAGACTTGTCTTCACATGATTATAGTGGTGTGACTAAAACATAATATTTTCCACTGCAATTGGTAATTCTTACTATGATCTCACTACTGTCAGATCTTATCCTGATGACAGATGGGAAACTGGGAACCATGGGTCCTATTTCAAGCTTCGGATGGTGGCACTTGATTTGCTCAATAGTCAACCCCAGGCATTCCCAAGATATGCATCAGGGCCCAAGAAATCTCAAGGCTATATTTAAAATTATGAAAGTTTTAAAGTAATGTGTGTTTCTTTTCTCTGTCTTCTTTTTTTTCTTTATAGTTAGAGGAGTGTGGGAAAGGAAGTTACTCTTTCTGCTGTACATCACCTGACTCCAGAAGCTGGGGCTCTAGAAATGTTGCAAAAAGAGCAGGAGAGAAGTTTTCGGTGATCCCAGTGTAGAGTAGAAACTATGTCACCTAATTGCATGTGGACATTTAGGCAGAGGTGGGAAAAGTAGGGAAGGTGTTTGTGTGTGTATAAGGTTTACAGTATTTGTAAAATCCTTTTTGTTCTTCCACAAAGAAGTTGTTTTTGAAACAGGGCATTTGGGGCACTAAGGTCAGGATTCATCTCATCTCACCTTGGCCACTGGAGTTGAGCGAGCTTGTCTAACCTCGTCATACAGACCTTTTCAGCATCAGTGAAGAAGGATTCAAACTATCCCAAGCAGTGGGACAGATTCCCCTTGGAAGGGGAGGGGCAGAGGTGCTTTGGTGGCATCTCCTGAAGCCGACTGTAAATGCATAGTCAGAGTGCCACTGCATTTTGACTGTTTGGGCTGAAAGGGAAAAGCAAATCTAATCAGGTGCCTGGGACAGACTGGGAAAGGAAGACTTCATGGCTACTTCCTCCTGAGGAAAAAGCTTAGGTCTAATAGATCTAATTACATTATTCTCTGATTTATTGTTACAGCCATTTGTTTAAAAAGTCGGTAATCCTTTTATACCAGTCCTATAATGATTATTTAATGTCTGGCTGTTTGTGAACCCACCAATCTGTGTGAACGGAGGATGCTTCACCATGGGGAATCTGCTCAGTTCTCCACAGGACAGTGAGCTGGGCCTGAGAGCCTTGAGTTGGGGACTTAAGTGGGTGGCTTCAAATTCCCACTTGCTGAGTGAAAGTAATGGTAGTTACGTAAACCCACTACACTCTCCTTTACAAAATGCTGCAAAACATAGGGCTGTCTTTTGGCTGTATACAGCCATAGTACTCCTCTGCAAGGATAAATATTCACTGACTAATGTTTGGTTAGCAGGCACTTTGCTGGTGGCCAGTGGGTCCCTCCACTCTGCCAGAGCAGTGACACTTGTTGGCCACAGCTCCATGGGTGTCCCAATCAGCACCAGTCACCCTTTGCCAGCTGAGTGGGTCTGCTCCCCTTGCTGATGTTTTCTAACCTCTTCCTTTGCAGAGCCCCTGAAATCATCCTTGGTTTACCATTTTGTGAAGCAATCGATATGTGGTCATTGGGATGTGTCATTGCAGAGCTGTTCTTGGGCTGGCCGTTATACCCGGGAGCTTCGGAGTACGATCAGGTGGGTATGGATATTGCCCTGGGTCCCGGTAAGTACACGGGTGCTTTTTCCTTCTCTTGTCAGAGTGAACAGATGCCAGCTTTTTCACTTTTGCTAATGAGAGGTCTGTGTTTCTTACCCTCCCAAGACAACCCTGTCGTTATCCACCTGGGGTGTTTATTCTGGGTAACCGGTGTGCTGCTTGGTATGCTGGCTTTTAAGACCTGACTGCCTAAGTGAAATCTCAATCAAGAGTCAACGCTGCCATTGACTGGAGAGCTGTGTACATGTCTCTCCTCGCTGAGCAGAGCAGGCACCCTTCCTCTGCTGTAACAGCAAGGGCTGAATAAAGGTTTATTTGTTAGAAGAAACTGCACAAACTCAGCTGCATTTCATAACCCTTTTATGAAAGTGCATATTAAAAGCAATGACAAGAAGGAGAAGGTTCGCATTGATGTAGGTTTCCAGTTAATATAAGCTGTCGTCCTTTTTCTCCCTATAGGCTTTTGTGCTCTTTTTGTAGTCCTAAAACTGATAACACAGCGGCTGCTGGAGTCAAGGCTGTGGAACACTTTCCATTCCCACAGTCTTCTTCAGGCTGATCTTAGCTGTCTGCAAATGCAGCCTGTAAAGGGTCTTTTTTCTTTTAGGAAATAAATTTTACCAAAAAAAAAAAAGCAGGATAATAAGTTTTTCATAAATTTAAATGTTTTGACTCTTCTTTTGAAACTGGTATTTTTTTACTCAGAGCTCTAAAGGTAATATTTGGCAGGGGAAATAACTTGCAGTGAAGAGCAGGGCTGTTAGTGACTCCAAAGGAAATCAGACGTAGCTGAAAAACTTACAAGCGTTTGAAAATCACATACCAAGCATGAAGAGTGGATTTCTTTCCTTTCCCTGTTGCACCCCAAAAACCATAAAACACACAGCTGAAAAAGAAATCACCATACCTTTACTGTCCAGCTTAACTGCCCAGCACAAGGCTTCCTCTAGTAAAGTATGAGGAGGGCTCCTGGGGAGCTGGGAAAGGGGTAGGGGCTGATCCTGGCCCCTTGCTGCAGCACTGGGGCAGGATCTTGGTGCCTCTCTGGTGCATGAGCTCTTCTGATGGACCTAAGGAGCAGCAGAGCTGAGGAAGCCATGCACAGTGAACTGCATCCTTCCAAGCACTGAGTGCTTGGAAGGATACAGTTCACTGTGCATGGTTTCCAAGCACTGAGTGCTTGGAAGTCTTTGAAACAGCAGCTGATTTTTATGCCTTCATTAATTTTTTTATCCTTCTCTGTCTCTTCTCTAAAAATCACTTTCCATTCTTCCCTGGAGTTTTCTAGAGTAGATGACTGTTTTGAGCAGTTTTGCAGAGTCTGCAGCAATTTTTCAGAACGAAATGTTCAGGAGTCAGAAGATACCAAAGTTAAAGTTTCATGTGGCACCCTAGGTATGTGTCTCTTTAATTGTGTAATCACAGACCCTTTCTCCTTTATAAAAAAATAAAAGTTGGAGATCCTGGAAACATGTGTAGTATCTTTTAGCTGTGTGGGTGCCAATGAGATCATACTTTTGGATGTAACCCACATAATAAATGACATCATGCAGTTGTCATTAGAGATGAAGTACTTTGCATACCATGTGGGTGTCACTTCATTTGAGAGTATATTTCGTCCAATTTCAAAGATAGTCACTTCATAGTCTTCCATTTTGAACTTCAAACTACTCCCAGGACAGACTGTGCACTCAGGTGAAGGAAAACCAGCAAAAGTTAGAGAGAAAATAGCAAATTGTTGAAATTCTTTCTGGGAGATGAGAGAGTGACATAAAAAGGTGCAAAGTGATGAGACACCCCATTGAAATAGCTGTCTGGATCTTTTCTCTGATCTCCAAAACTTAGGGGCTTTCCTGTCTTTGTCTTTAGGCCTTGTGGGACTATGCTGTAAGGGTGAGTTTCCAGTGATGTACATGATAAACAGAGGGAATTCCATACAGAAGTTCTCTTTCCTCTCATTCCTTGCACTGAAGTTTTTTGGGTGAAGTCTAACTGCGTGCTACATTTTCTCTTTTTTTTGTTCTGTTGTTTCAAATGCCTCCTGCACTCCTTCAGGGAAGACCTCCAGAGATCTTCACAGGACAAACAGTGACCTCTCATCCTTCTCTTACAGATTCGCTATATTTCACAGACACAGGGCTTACCAGCAGAGTATTTGTTAAGTGCAGGGACAAAGACTACGAGGTTTTTCAACAGGGATACAGACTCACCATATCCTTTGTGGAGACTGAAGGTAGGAAGACATTTCCTTATTTCTTTTACCTTGCAGTTGCTTGGAAGTGAGGAGACATTCAGGTCACCTCACAGCCTAGATCTCTGCTTTTTGCAGTGCAGTGCAGACATTGGGGTGGGTATGGCCCAAGGTAAAACTGCCATCCCCAAAGTCTGCGGTCTATAACACACCTGCTCAGCATTGCTTTGTGGGAAATTTAAGTCTAGAATTGACCTGGAAATCTTCCTCTAAGTAGTCTGTGGATTGGTGTGTAGTTTAAATGAAACATGCCCTTGGCAGACTTCACTCTAATATCTAATGCATTGGGGGGGAAAAAAAAGGCAAGCATTTTAATTCTGACAATCAAAACCACTAGTAATGTAGGTGAGCCCTGAGTCTCGTGTGCCAGTGTGTTTGGCTGCACGCAGTCCCCCAGGGAGAGAGGCCAGTGGGCTTCTGGCTGTAAGGATAGGATGCTGAGCTAGGATGGGTGTAAGACACCCACCATAGTTGGGAGGATCCTCAGAAGTGAAAGGGAATAGATAAATCACCTTGTGACACAAAAGATGTCACATAACCATAGCAGAAATCACATCGATGTTGTCTGGTCAGGCAAGAGAGGCACGGTGGTCTCTGATGAGGACAGGATGAGGCACACGTGGGCACATAAGCACAGCTGACTGCAGGGCAGTGTTGGTCAATGCCTCTGTCCTTTTTTGAGCAGACGCCAGATGATCATGAGGCAGAGACGGGGATTAAGTCGAAGGAAGCAAGAAAGTATATTTTCAACTGTTTGGATGATATGGCACAGGTAAGAGCATTGGTGAGTAACCAGGAAGACTGTTTACATGCCTTCTGGCAGCACTAAAAAAAGGGAATTACATGAGTTCGCTGCACATCCTGTACTTGTGCCAGCTCCTGAAAAATACCAGGATTATGCCTACCAAATTAGCTGTTATATCCAGCTTTGTAGGGGTGACTGCAGCCATAGTAAAGCAGCCTTGGAAAATGACTAAGTCACATCTCTGAGTGTTGAAATCCTGTGTTTTCTCTTGACTATGCAGTACTTCTCTGTGTGACCACTGGCAAGTCCCTTAGTTCTCTGTGCTTTAATATTTCTGTTTGATAAATGGTGACACTGGAAATACTCACCATGGCTGTAGAAGAGTACTCTCTGTAAAATGTAGCTGTCTGGGGGAATGGGGAGTACTAATTCACTTGTCAATTCCATATAGTTGTGAAAGGTAATCCCAGCATGACCACTCCTGCGACAGGAGTTTGTGCTAACACACAAATCATTGTGCAAAACTGGTTCAGCACTGGAGTTTGTACTAGCAAAGTCTAGACATGGTAGCATTGATAAGCAAAGATGCAGAAATGGAGGACTGGAATCAGGGGAGACTTTATAAATGCATGAAATAACATGTGGGAGTTTTTTCCTGGCACCTGATACATGAATGGGATGTTTCTCATAAACCTACTGAGAATTTTTATGTATTTTATATATCTCTTGCTCACGGGACACATAGATAAGCATCTGATAGCACAGTACTTTGTATGATAAATACACTGATTATGAGAGCTTGCCTGCTACCACATGGAAGCTGTTCATCATCAGTGGAGGGTGACTAAGTGTTTCATTAGCCATTGACCCAAGCAAGCTGAACACTTAACAGTCTGTCTAGAGATCTGACATGCACAAGCCAGATGACCAGCCAGAGTGTGCCGTGTGACTTCAGCAACTACCCCTTTAGACAGGGAGGCTTGCAGGGCATGTGCTCCAGCAAGGAGTAAACACAGTTTGCTGGAGACCTGACCATCTGCTCTTTCCTTTGGCGCTCACTCTTGTCGTTTCTCCTTTAGGTAAACATGACAACGGATTTGGAAGGAAGTGATATGTTGGTGGAAAAGGCAGACCGGCGGGAGTTTATAGATCTGTTAAAGAAGATGTTGACGATAGATGCAGATAAGAGGATAACACCCATTGAAACTCTGAGCCACCCTTTTGTCACCATGACGCACTTGCTCGATTTCCCTCACAGCACACAGTACGTGGCTTTTGTTTCCCTTGGGTTTTGAACTGGAGGGTGAAGGGAAGAGCTGGCTGTGGTGGGGACCAAATGTATCTGAAGGGCATTGTTAAGATGTTTAAACCCTAAGTTTTAATCTTTTCCTGGTTAAAAAAAAGGGGATTGCCAAGTCAAGGTTGTTAGAATTGTGTTGTGGGTGCTTGGCATTTAAAACGCTGCAGTGTGTGCTACATTAATTATGTAAATATTCAATAATTACGTATTTTTCCATTAAAATGCAGAAGAAATTATGCAATTAATGCTGAAACTATCAGTCTAACTCAAAGTAATATAGTCCTGATTGTTACTGAAGTAATCAGCCTTATCTGCAGTGAGGAACCTACCCTTACTCCCAGAACCTTCCCATCTTGCAGGGGTCAGTTTGGGGCTCTTTGCTTTTTAAGGGAAAAGCTGTTCTACAGCAACTCTGTTTTACAAGCGTAGGCAACAGGACGAGGAGTTCAATTTTCAGCTGTTTGTTGTCTGCCTGTGTCACCTTAAATACCACGCTGTGACCTCATCTGACACACGTGTGGAATGGAGATGGGCTCCGTGGGTTGCTGGAGATGTGAAGAAGTGTCATTGCCTTTGAGCCTGACTGCCCCTTCTCCTAAGGCTGCATTACGGAGCAGAGCAGCCTGAAGTGCAGGAAACCCGCACCCAGCCACTGCCCTTGTCCCCTGGGCAGTTCACATAGGGCCAGGCGTCTCAGGTGTAAGTGAAAAAGGTAGATACATAGTGGGAGTTTTCCAAAGCCTTCAGGACACCTAGCTTCGAATATCCTGCTCTACAGCACTTGCAGTTCACGGTGCTTTTGCAGGCTGTCCCTTCCACTTGACAGGAGAACAGTTGCCAGCACAGTGTTGTACTTCATTGGGTGCCATTTGCATGAGTGTTTAAAGGCTGTCAGGAGCTCAGGTACAAAATTAAAAAGCTCTAGATTATGTGTGTGTGAGTGCTGCAGAGCAACAGGTAACTGTGTCAGCTCTCCTGCTTGTATGTGTGGCTGCGGTATTTCAAGTTCATTTAAGGTAGCTTTCCCTCTTTGAAGGAGCTGTAGCTGCCTTTTTGTTACATTTATCACAAGATAAGAGCAGCTGCTTACCAGAAGGTAGTGGGTGCAAGATCTGTGTAGACCCAGACGTACCATGCACAGCCATTTTGGAGCATTGTTATCTATAAATAGATAGTAAATGATAAATGTAATGAAAACAAGATGGGAGATTGTTGTGCTAAACAGGGAGAAAGTAAGTTTCATATAAAAACCATTCATAAATAAAAAATGACAGTATTTTCTAACAGTGTGAGCGTCATAGACAAAAGTCCCTTAATTTGCAACAATCCTTCTTACTGTGCAACAACTGATTGTGTAAGATAGGAGAGATTTGTGACCTAATGCATTGCCGTCAGAAATCTTTCCACTAACGCAACAGACCATAACCACATCTTCATTTTTGAAGTGCTCGCTTGTGGCTGCTGAGGCGAAGCCCCAGAAAGGTTGAAAATATCACTGGGGCCGATAGCAGTGAGGATTTTACCCAAGTAAAGAATTCAGCATCAGGTCTCTGAATACTAAATGCTGTGCCAGCCGGGTGCGTAACCCCGCGCAGCCCTTCCACGTAGGAAGCAGTGATTGGAAAAGAGAGCAATAAGCCGTAACCAGCATGGCAAGTTGATGGAAATTTTGTCTGTGATTGCCTGTAGTTTGGAGAATAGAAACTTCAAAGCCTTGAGAGATGCAGGGAGTTGTAATCTGTCTTGAAAGTAAATCGGGCAGCAGAGAAAGTGAGAATATGTGGAAGCTGTAACTTCTGGAAGGAATCTGCTGTGGCACGCTTCAGAGAGGCTGCAGCACGAGATGGGCTGTTCTGCTTACTTGTAAGCAGACAACAAAATGACTTTAGGTCCCCATTTCACATAATTAGCTGCCTGGATCTTAAACTGCTGAGTACGCCTCGGACTTTTTCTGTTTTGCTTTGTCCCTGCCTTTTTTTATCCCCCCTTTTTTTAAAGTAAGAACAGAGAACATGGTGTTGCATTAGTAGAGCTTACACCTTGTTATATAAAACTGTTTAGTAACAGTTCACCATGTAGAGAATATACACTCTTTTCAATGCTTTCTGCTTTTCGAATGGGGAATTATGTTCATACTTGACTGGAAAAAATGCAATTCAATAGTCTTCTGTATTTATTTGATAAGTGTTTGATTTTGCTGAATGTTCTGCAACTAACAGGTATAGTTCTGTAAGTGAATGCTCATAATGTGCAGCTGTGCACAGTGTCCTGAGCCTGTCTTGTCTGCAGGTGTTTATGGCCCAGATCCAGTTATCAAGATATTACTCGTAGGAAAAGAGAGGTGACCATTTGAATAAGAGAAAAAATAGGAATGAAAAGACTGAGGTCCTCTTCCTGACCAGCTTGAGGGCTCATAGGAGGTTGTCCTTTTGAAGGGACATTTCATTTCTTAAAAATTAGGTGAGGATATGTTTACCTCCTCTAACAGTTTAGATCATTACAAAACAGTCAGCATACAGCTGATTTTTTACAGCTACAGCTGATTTTCACTACTTGGAATTGCTATTTTTCTGTGTTGAGATAATGGAAATAAAATAAATGCCTTTATACTTTTTGGGGTTGAGTTTCAGACTCTTAAGATTGCATTTGTAAAATCAATTATTATGGAGGAATTGTGGGAAAACTATTGGTTTTTAGACCTCAAAAAATGAGATTTTATTAAAAATATAGTTTTGCACAGGTTTGCTGTGTTGTTATTTGTTAACCTCGGTATACTTCGGTATCCTAATTATAACAATGAAATACTGACAGTTTCATGTAGTAGATGCCTGGTGAGCTCTAAAAACTTAGAGAGTATTTCATCTCCTTTGCAGGAGGCACAAAATATGATACTTCTCAAAATTTCCATTGCTATATCAATAACATTTAAGGGAAAGTCAGCGTAGAGGAAGAAACTGTAATCTTTCCCCCAGAGATCCAATTCTCAGTGTGAGATAACCTCAGAACCGGATTGCCTTGGGGCACTGATGAATCTGATTTGGCATAACCTTTTTCAGTATGAATTGTCCCATTGACTGCAAGAGGAGGTCTCATGTGCTTCAAGATAAGCATCTGTACAAGCATTTAGCCAGACAGGGGCAATGTTTTAAGGGCTAGGCTGGACTCAGCTCTCAGTGAACTACTTCTTGAAAGGAACAAGGCAGATTTTTTTAGTGGTCTCAGTGATCAAGAGTAGTAGAATTCTTCCTTGCAAAGGACGTGTAAAACTACCTTTAGGCTTGCACAGAGGCAAAAGCGTGAGTTGTCTTTTCCTCTCAGGCTCAACCATCAGAAAAAAACTAGTATTTATCTTTCTTTCTTTCTTGCTCTCAGTCTCTTTCAGTCCTTAGAAATAGCCACTTTGTATTTCTTGCCTCATCACCTAAAGAGCAACCAATTTACTTGCTGCTTGTGATTTGTATTGCAGTGCTGAGACCCATGGGAGCACCCAGGAGTCCAAAAGCAGCTGCTCTCGTCTTGGCCTTTTCAGTACAGAGTTAAACTGACTATCACTGGTTAAGAGAGACCTGCATAAAACAGCAAAGGGCTTTAAGAGCCTAGAAAGTGCTAGACCTGCTGTGGAGACCTAATGCAGGGCCACTGTGATGAACTGTTACCTGTGTTAGTCGGTTGGTTGATTTTCTGTCTCTTCTTTGCCCCCCTTTCCTTACACAGTGTCAAGTCCTGTTTCCAGAACATGGAGATTTGCAAGCGGCGGGTGAATATGTATGACACAGTGAACCAGAGCAAGACGCCATTCATCACCCATGTAGCCCCAAGTACATCGACCAACTTGACCATGACTTTTAACAACCAGCTGAACACAGTCCACAACCAGGTAAGGGCATTGATCAGAAGCAGACAGTGCTTGAAACCTTTATGTCAGCAGGGTCTAGAAGACGAAAAGTGAAGTAGCATCCCATTTAACATGCCTGCCAAGAGATGGTACCTTTTTACTCTCCTTCCTCTGCTCCTTTCATCATTCTCTTTTCTTCAGGCAGGCAGTAATCTTGTGGCATTTTGTGTGACGGGGAAATGTTGCCCATGTTGTTTATGTTGTTGTTGGGGTGATAAATCCTGCTTACTTGGAAGTTGCTATGGGGAAAAGCTCATTAGTCCCTTAATGCAGCAAGTAGGACTTCACTCCCTGGGTCAGGCAGAAGTATTTGTGATCTTACAGCACTTCTTCAAATTTGCATTGAAGTAAAAAGAATTTAAACCCTTCTGCAACAGACACAGCACTGTAACTGATCAACATGAAAGAAGAGTTTAATGATAATGTTTATTCTTGTCTCGCATTGGTTTTACTCTAGGTGCCACAGTTGATGTGGGGACTGTGTGTGCATACCCCCACTGTGAACACACTGCACTCTGCTTCAGTGGGCTCTGGCTTTATAATAGTGCTTTGCATTAGTTTCACTTGTCCCAGTGTTGGGGGGGTGCTGTGTTGACAAATTTTTTGTGACTAGCAGACGAAGTTGTTTACTGCGGTACTGTATTACAGCAGTGAAGGGAAACTCTCCAGGGAGAGCACTGTAGGAGACTGAAGCTCAAGAAATTGCTACTGTCTTTTAAGCCTCTTGGGAACAGGCTGCTCAAGATTCAGTCTAGAGATTGCAGGTGGCATTGCGGAAGTGGTGTTTGGAAAGCCAGGGAGCTAAAGGAGTCCGTACAGACCTACAGGGTGTTCCAGCATCAGTCAGAAAACCAGACTTCGTGACTCAGGTCCTGATACATGTGATCACAGAAGGTCTTTTGAAACAATTCAAGCAGATTCAGACAGAGATAGGTCATGACTTGGTGTGATAGGGTATTAGTTGCAAACACCAGTTCCCTTTCTTATCTCTTTCTGAGTTGCTGACTAAAGAAATGCACACTACAGGCTCCCCTAGGCCCCAGCTGCAGGGCAGAGACACCATTAGTACCACAGTTGCTAGTAGGAAATGCAGACTTGCTTTCATTTCCTCACAGCTCACTTGACATTACGATCAGTTGTTGGCTGGGGAGATCCATGGTGATTTCTGAATTCTCTCAAGGGGTGTGTGTTGTGAGCAGAACCAGTATCTCCAGTGTTCCTAGAAAAAGTGGTAGAAATATTTCCAGGAAGGGTTTTTTAGTTTGAACAAGCTCTAAGCCTTTCACAATTCTCTTCAACATACCATTCGTCTTAGCTTTCTTTTGTTTCCTGTCTCTGCAAAACGTCTGGGGATTGCCTCATTCCAGTTACAGCTTCTGAGATTAGGAATGTGGGAGCTGTTGTGGTTGCTGCTCAGTATGTTGCACAGGAGAGCAGATTGCACTTCGCTGCCTCTGCATGGAGAGGGGATGAGGAGGAGGAGGAAGAAATGTTTTGTTGTCACATTCTTCATGTCTGTGGCTGTGGCAGTGCAGCACGGGTCCAGTAGCAACCAGTGCAGTGCAAAATGCTTAGTCTGCTGTCTCCTCCAGTCTTGATCAAAGCCTCCTCCTGGGTTCATATATTCACCATGAGAAAGCATTGTCTGACCTGTCATTTGCCATGAGAAAGTAGTGTCTGACCTATGTCTAGCAATCCTTCCGGTATGTTTGGGCAGAGGGGAAGGATGGTCTCTGGTCTGGTAGAGTCTGGCTGCCTGAATGCTAAGGACATAGTTTTAGAGCAGTGACAGAGCTGTTTAGTTGTCTGCAACTGTTAGACTCGGTCCAAATGAAAAAAGTCTTCAGATTTCTAGATGTTTTGCAGAACACTGGGATGATTTTTGTGGCTTTGCAACATCCCCTGCTGGAGTTTCTGCTCTAAGAGATTTTAAAGACAAGCCAAGTTTGGACTTTGCAAGTATTAGTATTACCACCTGTTATGCCTTCTGATTACTTCAAATTCCAAACATAATTCAAGGGGCATGTGCCATCTTAGATGCAAGATATCTAAGAGAAAGGGCTGGAATGAATCTCCCCTCTCAGGATGAGACTTCACAAGGCACGGAGGTGCTGAGTTTATTTTACCTCAGAAATATGAGCAGCTCCTAGACCTATGTACATTATGAGTGAACAACATGATTTGTGGATAGTAACATTTTCTGACCCCATCTTCATCATACTGCAAATCAGAGGCAGTTGGGTGAGAAATGGGGCTACAGTTCTGCTTTAGAGAATGTGCTGTGTCTCTCAGCAGTTCACAGCAGCACTGCATGGCCAGAGGCCCTGTGGTGTGGTACAGCTGTGGTTACTCAGGTGGATTGTGCTCCTTTCCCCAGCGCTGCCCTTATCTCTGTGCTCCTCAGTGTCCTGTTCTACCCCTTGTTTGGTTTTGGTTTGCTGTTTTGTTTGTTTTGCTTTGTTTGGTTTCTTTTTTTCACTTTATCTTACACTATTTTACTTTTTTCTTTTGTTTTTTGGATTTTGCTTCTTCCAACGTACCCATCTCCCTCATTTTTTTGTTTGTTTTTTGTTTAATTCCCGTCATTCCTTTAGACCACCAACCTGGCTCCCACCTCCTCCAGTGCCACTATTTCCTTAGCCAACCCCGAGGTCTCCATACTAAATTACCAATCTGCACTCTACCAGCCCTCAGCGGCGTCCATGGCTGCGGTGGCCCAGCGGAGCATGCCCCTGCAGACAGGAACAGCGCAGATCTGTGCCCGCCCCGACCCCTTACAGCAAGCTCTCATCGTCTGCCCACCAGGCTTCCAAGGTAAGGAACCGCCTCACCGGACCTTGGCCAGTTGCTGCTCCCTCCCCACTGCTGTTTAGGCAGGAAGGAGGCTGGCCTAGTAAATGGGAGCAGTGAGGTTGTTGCAGGTGGAAATGTTTGTAGCGGTGGAGGATCTTGCAGGCACCTCTGACAGCATGAGTTGGAGGTAGCTGGTCTAAAACAACAGGGCAGATGCTGAGAAGGGGCTGAGGGAGAATATATGATGTTTGTCCTCTTTTGCCCTGAACAGAGTTTGAAGGCTCTTCTGCCATACTTTGGTAAACTTGAAAGCTTTCCCCCACAGTAACATGAATCAGCACGTGCGTAATGGGCTCATCACTTCTCAGTGATTCTATTGCTAAAAGGGGAACTCGGGAGGGTAATGCAGCAGGGAGCATGGTGGGTTTGCCCCCATAATATGCTCATGACCATTTATGAGTAAAATTCCCTCAGGTCCACCCCACTGCAAATAGCTCTGCCTGTGTATATAGTGGTAGGTACCATTGTTAGATAACTTGGGTGATGATCAGAATTATCTACTTGTCCTTTTCTTAACTTTACATGCTGTAGCAATTTGGAAAACTAGATGGGTATCTGTAGGAAGTGGACTAAATAGACTCGGTTCAGCTGGTGCAACTTCTACTCTTCAGTTCTACAAGCCTGTCTGTGCAGCAGTCTCTAGCCACTTGTTAAATGTTCTGCAAGATTATCAAAGCTCTTTTGAACTAGAGAAGTTTAGCTAGACCTCTTCTACGTAGTAAAATGCATCTCAAGGGTTTGACTTCAGAAATGTATTGCTAGAGTACATAAGCTAACATCTTCAGCTTGCTGTCCTGAGAAAGCTCTAAAGCAGAGGAGGCAGCACAGGCTGTGCTGAGGTGGTGGAGAGGGAAGCTTCCTGCTGCTTGGTTAGGCTTATGTGTGGCTTAATCAGTGATTGGAGTTTGGGGTGTGCTAGAACCTTTTAAATATGAGTCCCAAGAAGCTGTTCAAGAGAAAAGGGAGTATAGAGTTCTGGATTCCCATCCCACTGTCCCACTTTGGTCTAAAGATAGCATTCTCACGTAGCAATAGGTTTGGGCTGGCAAAGACCATTTTCTGTTGTCAAACTGGAGAATATGGTGAAGAGAAACCATTCACTCTACTGTTTTCTCCCTGTACACACTGTATTGTGATATTTGCTGTGCATTTGAGGTACACTAAAAATATGAACTCAGTTATTCCCTTAATACCTCTGAAAATGTCTTTTCTGCACCCTTATACATGTATCATGTTTGTGAACATTTGTTGGACATCTCTGGGCTGGGGTAGAACATGTGGCAGTCTGATAGCCCAATTTTTCAGAGGGACTGAATATTGCAATTTAAGTGGACATCAGCGAGTGCCTTTAGGCACCTCTGAAAACCAGAGCCCTGTTCCTAGCAGTGCTGCTGATGGCTAATGCTGTACCTTCTGTGCTGGTGGAACAGGGTTACAAGCCTCCCCTTCAAAGCATGCTGGGTATTCGGTTCGGATGGAGAACGCAGTTCCCATTGTCACTCAGGCTCCTGGGGCCCAGCCTCTTCAGATCCAGCCAGGACTCCTCGCACAGGTAAGGAATTCTGAAGACACTGAACTCAGCAGGTATTTACTGTGTTGTTTAGCTCTTGAAGGCTGAGGAGAGTAGCTTTATCTAAGGGCCTTCTGTGGTGCAGTTTGGAGACTTGGGCAGCTATATAAGGGTCTGCAGCTTTCTCTGAAATGTCCAAATCTCCCCCAGCTCAAAGGCTATGTCAGAGTTGCAAAAGCTTCTAGAAAGACCTTCTTTCTTTCTGGTTTTCCACTGGAATCAGTGGGAAAGCCTCAGGGAAATCTGTATCCAGCCTCTGCTGAGGAGGAACCGATAATAACCTTCCTGCATCCTCCTGAACTTGCAGTTTCAGTGGTAGTTCGTAGTCAGGAGTCACAGTGGTGAATTGTGTGTGGCCAATAAATGTCTTCCATGCTTTAAGACTCCACCATTCTGTTTTATGAGCTGCACCTCTGGTCTTCAGGTATGAGTGAGATGGAAGGAGCAGAGGCAAAGGCCCCACAGGCAAGGAGCTCTCCTTGTCAGCAGCACTTATTGGCACAGTTGTTGAATTGTGCTCACAAGAAAAGCATGGTTCCTTCCAGAAGAAAAACAGTCAGAAATTGGTACCACTGATCACATGCACATCCTCAAGGGGAACCCCAGCTTCTCAAACCAGAGGAGCAGTTCATTCCACCTTGTGCTGGCTTCAGTGAATCTGACCCTACTGCTTTGGTGCCATGGTAACTTGGCTGATAACAAGCAGGAAAAAAAAAAACGCCGAGTATACTTAATACTAAGTCGTGCAGCCTGGAAAAGGTGACCTGTTAATTAAAAATGCATGCCTCTGACTCAGTCTTGGTTGGTCTGCGGTCAGGTACCCACAGACTTAAGGGTTTGTGCCTGTGCCCTGCACTACCGCAGTAAGACTGTTGGTGCTATTGCCTTCCTTTGCCAGATGCCAGTTGTGCTTATCTGGTGGATCAAAATGCAACTTGCAGTCTGTATGATTTCCACCTGCCCTACCCCTTCCCAATAGCAGAGCCTTTGTTAGAGGACTGTCTGAAACATCAAACCTATCTCTGTTGCAGCTTGTTGTAACAACAGACGTGGGCCACCACTCTTGTTTGGTAGGAAAGGAGAGCCTATGAGGCACTCAAAACAAAAGCCATGGCAAAGCGAGAGCAGTATGTGCAGGCTCAGAGCCTGGCACCTATTGCTTGTGCAAGGAGTCAGCCAAGGCAGTGGATGAAGGAGGTCACAGGGCTTTACATGCCCCCATCATTCTGCCAGGCCTCCTATGGTGTGCTTTCTGTGGGGCTTGAAGGAGTGATCTGAAGTATCCCAAAGGCAGCAGGAACCTGAAAGATCTCAGGACCTCATGCTCCTTCTTTCTTCTCGAGATAGCCTTGTTGGACTTCATACAAATGAGAAATGTTTGTAGTAAATACCCTCCTGAACACCCTCCCTCCCACAGGTTACCAGTTTCGGTGCTGCCTCTGCCACACGAATGCCGATTTCTTGGGCTGCCCCTTTCATACTTTCTACCGACATTTTATTTACTGCCACTTCCAAAAGGGAATTCAAGCTGTTTCTGAGAAACTCTCCTCACTTGCATAGATTTTTAATTTTTGATTTAATAAAAGAGAGGCAGTCTGCCTGTTGATGTATCTGTTTGCCTGGCGCGATGAGAAATGCTAGCTGTCACTCTGGTGGCAGGACACTCTGATTGATGCCGGTGGCATCTGGTGTCCGCGGGCCTCACTCAGTTTGGGCTGAGCAGCTGGTCTGATAAACAAATCTGTACCCAATTCCAGTTTCCCGAATGGAAAAACACAGCTTCTTTGTGATGCATTGTAGTCACATCTGATCTCTGAGCGGCTGTGTGTCTCTCTCCCAGCAGAGAGCTATTCCCCTCATGCACAGCTGCTTATCTAATGCTCTTCAGACTGGACCACGGGATTGCTCCAACTATTAGAGGGCCTGTTCCCGGCAGAGAGTGTAGCACCTCCAGAGCCCACTTCTGTCTTTCCACCTGCCTTATTTGTCCCACCGATGGGGCACGGTGCTGCTCCTTGTGCTCCCAGCACACAGCACAGGTCACTGTGCTTGACCTCATCAGGATGCCTGTGGCTGGTAAGGCCTTACTGCATCCCAGCACAGCTGGCGTCCAGTTCACCCTGTACATTTTGTACAAGACCAACCGCACCAGAGGAAGGAAGGAGGAAGGAGTTCCAGGGGCCGGAGGGACCCCCTGCTGAGGCACTGACAGATTTTGAGCATCATCTCTGGCAGCTGTGTGTCTGCAGTCTGTGGGATGGAGCTAGGCGGTGCAAGGCAGAGCAAGCAGCGTGCAAGATGCGGGGTCAGTAACTTGTTTGTAACTTGTCTGGGTCTATTTTCACCCTCTCAAGCAAATGTGGTCCACATACTGTATGCACAGGGACTGGTGAAAGGAGACTGATCCTGTCTTTTCTAATAGTTCTCTGTGGCTTTTGATCTCAAAAGAGACAAAACTGCACAGTTTTCTGGCAGGCATCCATGACGTGACCTAGAACTGTCCCCTGTCCTTGAATAATGCCCTGAATTCTTGATTTTACCCTCCTCTTAACTCCTTCCCAACACCACTTCCCACGGAGGTCCTGCCACCGGCTTTCAGAACAAACACAGTTATTCCATTAGTCGCTCCTGCTCTATATCCGGAGCACGAGCTCCGTCGCACCAGGGGATCCCCCGGCTCCCGAGCGCGGGGGCCAGCGCGGTGCTCCACCACGGCTGCAGGATTTCATAGTGATACAATAACTGGGAACAGGCTGTGGCTGCCGCCACAAGCCTCCCGTGTGTGAACACAGCGTGCTGTGCTGGTGGATCAGCCTAGACAAGTCTTATCTGCAGATTAAATGATTCAGTGGTCCTTACCTAATAAGTGAGGAATTTGTGCCTAGACCCTGACACTGCATCTAAATTTATGCACTGCAGTCAGGCAAGGAGCTTAGTTTTGTTTCGTTCTCTTCCTGAAAAGGGAGGAAGCAGTTTTCTCTGCAAGTAAATCCAGGTAGTCCCCTGGGACTGACTGCAAGAGTAGTTTAGTCTTCTCTTTTAAAGCAAAACTGGGGAAAAAAGAGAAAAGAATAAAAAGGCTTTTTTCCTCCCTGATCTTTTAGTGTCTTTGCCTCTTTCTTTTACCTGCTCCAAGCGGCAGCAGCCTATGGTTGTGGCTCCTTAGATGAAAGGGTCTCAGGAGCCTTGTGACTGTCCATCCTTTGCAGATGTTGTGAGAGGCCTCACTGTAGCAGCCTTTTCATCTAACTCAGCAACATGGAAAGTTACAAGACAGTCAAACTTCGGAACAGAATGGGAAAAGGTGTTTTTTTGGGGGAGTGGTTTTTTGGGTTTTTTTCCACTGGGGGATAGGAGGGGATCATGGGGACAGTTAACTGGATTCTTGTGAGGATGGAGAAGGGGACAAATGTATGCTTGGAACAAGCCTCCCCTCAAATTTAGCCTCCTTGGAGCTGTGAGATAACACAACACAGTATAGTAGTGCAGGTTGGGACTAAAGTGGGTCATAGCTGATACCCCTGCATTCCTCAGCCCAGGCAGTGATAAGCTGCCAGAGCTGCCTTTGGGCAGCACATAGCAAATAAAATTTCCCAAGTCAAAAAACCAACCATCTGACTGTGTGGAATCACTGGAGCAGGACAACCTGAGTCATGCCTGTGGCAGCGCAGCTGGAGGGATATTGCATACCAGAATGATGGCTCAACTCACAGGGCAGGAATTTACACCCTGTAAGGGGGGCACTCACTCAGAAAAAGCAGGAAGGCACATGGAGAGAACGGGCATGCAATACATAGCTGTGCATGGCTTCACTATGCTTTGCCCAGAGAGGCTCCTGGTGAGCTGCAAGCAGGCAACTGGGCTTCTTGGCTGTGTAGCAAGATGTTCCTTCTGAGGAGCACCCAGTGGCTTATAGGTGTTCCCTTTCTGTATCCCCAAATTCACCTTTTCCCCCTCCTTACTAAAGCCCAGTTCTTTTTCCTGGTCCTTGAAAAGTTCATTTTCCTTTTTCATTCCTTTTAAGTTCCTGAAGTCCTGTTGGGGTGAGAAAGAAAACTGGCTGTAGGAGGGGGAAATTGACAATGGGCCTAGCTGATCTGGAAAGTCAAAATTAAAAGGTGCTAAAGTGTTTGATCTTTGGGTTGAAATGCCAACTAGTTTTGATCCCTCCTATTCCGAGTTTAGCCTAAAACACAGCTGCTGCTTTGTACGGCAGGGACTTTTCCCCCTTCCTTTCGATCCTCTATATTGATGACTTTTACTGCTTTTACCATGCTTTCCTAACGATATTTAAAGGGGGTAAGAGCTATGTACTATGATCATGATAATTATTGGGGGCCCCGGGTGAGCGTGGACCACCACTCATGCTTGGTGCATGATGCCTTTTGTTTTCCCTCTGTCTGACAGCAAGCGTGGCCCAGTGGCACTCAGCAGATCCTGCTCCCTCCTGCCTGGCAGCAGCTGACTGGGGTGGCCACCCACACATCTGTCCAGCATGCGACCGTCATCCCAGAGTCCATGGCAGGCACCCAACCACTGGCAGACTGGAGGTAAACTGGAGGTGCTTGGAGGCTCCCTGAAGTACCCACCAGTGCTGGAAGAGGCCTGAGAAGAGTGGGGGCAGGAGGGATGGGGTCTCACAAGGGCTGTGAGGGAGAAGGGCTGCAGCCTGTCGCCCCCTTGTCTGAAAGCTATGGGTATCTTCTCTGTTCCATGTCCTTGGAGTGGAGTGCTGTGCCCACAACTCTCTCTTCAGTCTGCTCCCTGGGGAAAACGCTCCATCCTGGGTGGACTAGGAGCCCAGTGGGCCCTGGAAGGGAGGGTACCTTGGTGAAGGGCGGTGGGAGCCTGTGGAAGAGCCTGCCGAGGAACAGCTGGTTGCGTGTTAAACGCGTGCCTGTCTCCCCACCACGCAGGAACACGCACGCTCACGGCAGCCACTACAACCCCATCATGCAGCAGCCCACGCTGCTGGCCAGCCACGTGACCCTGCCCGCTGCCCAGCCCGTCAACGTGGGCGTCGCCCACGTCATGCGCCAGCCGCCCGCCGCCACCTCCACCAGGAAGAGCAAACAGCACCAGTCGGCGCCCCGGTGAGTGTGTGCCCACCCCGGCACTGGCCGTGGTGGTGGGATGGGGGTCCCATGCTTCCGAGTGCAGCCCTGCGATGCAGCTGTGCTGGCCAGCATGGTGTTCACTGACATCTGCAGGGCAGAATAAAGTTTATTCCACAGCCTGCAAGGGATTAGGTTACGCATTTTGTGACTGGAGTCTTTGCTGCTTCAGCTCTTTGGCACCCAGGTCAGGAGAGTGGCAGGTAAGAGGTGATCCGGTGCGTTTTACACCCAGTGAGCATCATTTTGCATGGGAGTCAGTGGCTACAGGAGATGCAAGATGGGAGACTTGGGCCCTGTTCATACACTTGTTATGCTGCTGTGATTACCTGAGGCCTTGTTATTAAAAATGTAACTGAATTCTCAGGTCAGTGTGCCGCAGTGCCCAGTTGACACACCTTTTCTTCCCTCATCATCTGGAAGAAGCACTCCTGAGGTCCAGTGTTTGCACTTCCATGAGGTGATGCACCTCAGGGGACCTCTTCGGGAACATGTGCCTGATGTGTGCACACAAGATCTGCCCTTTCAAAAACAACAGAGTGATGACCTGTCTTCTGAGCTTTAATGCCATGTGGAGTGGAGGACTGGGGTGGCTTTAGGCCACCTCAGGCTCTCTAGCTCCTAACATAGGTGGTTAGTCCCTATCTTCAGCAGTACACACCAGCAACAGATCTCCGTGCTGGCCTTGATATAATCATGGCAGCACAAAACGGAGCATTTTATAAGGATATCTCACACAAGGGCAGTCTTTAGAATCTATTGGCTCTCAGTCTACCATTTGGCTCTGCAAGGAGGAGACTGGGGTTTCTTGCACAACTCAGATGGTAGGATGGTTGCGGCGCCTGTCACAGCACTGTAAGCTTGTCTAGAGGACAAGGATGTTTAAAGTGCATGTGTACCTGTTCTGGGGAAGGTCCTCTGGGCTGTGCAACTATGACGCTGCTTTAAAAAGAAAAAACAACAAAAACACAAAACATAACAGTGCAGGGGAGAGAACCAAAATGGGTCACCACTTGTGCAGAGGCAAAAACAGAGGAGCTTGTGGTTTTCCTGGGTGACTGCACTGGGGCCAGAGGAGCTCTGAGTTTGCAACCAGTTTGACGCTAGTTAAGAGTCAAATTTAAATCCTTCCCATGTATCTACTCTCTAATGTTGAATTTACTTTGGGTGAGCTCCAGCTGTCTTAGTCAATCAGTAACACAGAGGAGAGGCAGCTACGTCCCCAGCAAGTCAGCAAAAGAGAGCACCTGCTGCAACCAGTATGCCTGTGCAGGGCCCCCCTTCTCCCTTCACTCTCCAGGGGCAGGGATGGCAGTGTCCAGGAGGAATTGGGCACCCTCAGAGCAAGGGCTTTCTACAGTTTCATTAATTGTGACTCTTTTGTAGCCAAATGAGGAACGTGCTCCTTTGGAAAGGAGGGTACTCCACACTGCTCATTGGTATTCAAAAAGCACTTTGAATGCTACTGTGCAGCCATTTGTTATGCAAAAGACCCTGTGTAAGTTGGTATAGTGTGATATACTGTCAGGGTGACTTCCTTTTGATGGATGCCACCTATTCCTTTTGTTAGCTTTAGGGCCAGGCTGAACATGCAGCCCAGGCCCCACAGTGGAACAAAACCAGAACTTTGGGGGTTTTTTTTCCTTTTTGACTCTCCAGATGTTCTGCAGTAGTGAGAAGAAATACAAGGGAGAAAGAAAGTGTGGGAATTGAGTGAAATGGGCTTTAGTCAGTGTGCTTTGGTAAATAACCCCATCTGCAGACCCACGCTGCACTGCTGGGTGGATAGGTTCTGTGTTCACACCCCTGATCCAAGTGAGCCTTTTCTGCTTGGTCTGGTAGGGAAGCTGACATAGGAAGACTGGGAAAAAAACAGGACTCGAGAATGCTTTTTTACTGTGTAATAAGAATATTTTTCTTTTCTTTCTGATTTACATATGCTGGATGCTGCTTCACATGGAAATTAAATGAACCTGAGTATATGTCCTCCCTTCTGCCTGCTTTCATCTATGGGACACCACTGTCCTAGAGGTCAAAGTATTGGGCAGGAAATGTTCATTGAAAAGATTCTTAAACAGAAATTGATTTCTGTTTAATTAAATTAAAAACCAGTTTTCCTGATAAATGATGGTTGTTTTCCACAGCAAATTCTAATTTTATCTCTAGCATTTTCTGGCCAAAAAATATCTGGTCATGATGCATCTGTACAGGATACAGGCAAAAGAGATGATCATTTAGGTGGTTCTCTCTCCTGTGACAGCCATAGAGTGCCTGCCTTTGTTCTGTATGTCTGGGCTGTGTGACTAGCCTCTACTCTCCCAGTGCAAACTCCTGAGAGGCAGAATTTCTCATCTGGAAATTTCTAGGAAAAAAAAATTGAATTTTTTGCTACAAGAAACTGCTTTTCAGCCAATGATATGAATAAGTCATGCAAGGCACTCTCTCCTTTGAAGAGGTGACTGTGTCAATTTTGCAGTTTTCCTAGACTCCATAGACCAGTGCCACTGAATCAGAGACCGGGACTCACAAGCCCTTGGTGACGGGCAACTTGAGCAAACAGAGTTTTAACCAACTAACACCTTTTCCCATTTCCAGAAACACATCCACCTATGAAGTTTCATCCTCTCAGTCCATCAGCTCGCCCCAGCGGTCGAAACGAGTGAAGGAGAACACGCCTCCCCGCTGTGCCATGGTGCACAACAGCCCTGCCTGCAGCACCTCCGTCACCTGCGGCTGGGGCGACGTGGCCACCAGCACCACGCGGGAGCGGCAGCGGCAGACGATCATCATTCCCGACACCCCCAGCCCCGCAGTGAGTGTCATCACTATCAGCAGCGACACGGATGAAGAGGAGGAGCAGAAGCATGCACCCACCAGGTGAGCAGTGGCTCTCTGCTCTTCCCTGTGTGCAGGAGAAAGAGACAGAGGCAGCGAAGTGTTGGAGCATCCCAGGGGTTGCTGTAGGGTTCCAGGAGCTATATTTGGGTGTCAGCATCCAGTTTTTCCTTTCATTTGAAAGGAAAAAATACTAGCTGAGGACTGCATAGATTTAGTTGAAGCTCCCTTCTGTGCCTGTACATTTGCTGTGTGACCTTGGAGAAGTGCAGTAGTCTCCCCATGCCAGAGTGTCTCATCTGTAAGAGGAAAGAATACTTCTCTCTATCTCACTTCTGTTGAAAGGAGACTTCAGAGAGCCTATGGTGATGAGCCTCTCTGAGACAGCTGTTTAAAACAAAGACAAAAAGAAGGGCTTGGAAGGAAGATGCCTTAAATTTACCTTTTCTCTTTCTAACTGATCCAGGCATCTGTAAAGAGCATTAAATGACACCTTCGATATGTGATATTTTTCTTAAAAAGGTTCTCAGGAACAATGGTTCTGTCATAAACACTCAACAATAATAAATATATTTGTAAGAGATTTGCTTAGTTCTGATTGTGTTGTCAAAACATCCTTGAACTATTGTAAAAGTGGCAGAAACTGACTGCTTTTTTGTCTGACTGCAGAGAGGCATAGATGAGGCTAGAAACACCAGGGTGACTGAGTTTGCTCCTTAGGGAATTAACTCACCTGACTGAACAGTGTGGCCCAGGACCACTGCCACTGCTGATCATCTCTTGTGGATCAGAGAGGACTTAATTTTCTAGGACTGTCCTTTCAGCACCTTTCATCACATGCAAGTGCTCTAGGTTTCCCATCTGATGCCAGTCACAAGACATTGCTCTGCTTTATAAGTTGTAGAGAAGTAGTCTTGCAAACAGCTAAATAATTTTACCATCTTTATATTGGTAACTGAACTAGGAAATTTTTAACCTTATCTTTCCAGTATTGGTGAGAGATAATTATTTTTCTATTTATTTAAAATACACTCCATGCCAGATTTTTTTCTAATCACTGGAGATACCTATCTGTATCTCTGCATCTCTGCATTGTGATGATAAGTGAAGCCTGCAAATGTGCACAGAACAGATGAGATGCATTTGGCCTCCAGGAACTAAAAATCTGTAAGGAGCCATATGATTCAGGCATCTAGGCTGGAATTTCAAGCTGCCTCCTGACAGCCACTGCCGCTTCCCATTCCCCTTTTCCCTACCAATGAACTCCACTGGGCAGCAAGAGCTCAGTGCCTCTCAAAGTCAGGCTTGCCATGAATGCAGTGGTTATCATGGGCACTTGATCACAGGACAGTGTAACATATTTCACTTTAAAAATAAAAAGAAATAAAATTAAAAATTGCTACAGCATTCCTTGCTTTGGTAGGGGGAAGAAAGTGGGGTTCCAGAGGGAGTTGAGTGAAGATGAGTGTGAAAGTCAGGTAGACAAGAAATAATGAGCCCCTACTTCCAGGGCTCTTATGGGAAAGTAAGGGCAAGACAAAAGAGATGCTGAAAACTGAGGTGGGGCAGCATGAAGAGGGCAGGTATCTCAAGGGTCATGGGAGCTCTTTTCAAGCATGTTTACCGATGGTGCTGATGCCAGGCTTTTGGAATTATGTGCAAATACTTAAACTTACCATCTGGGTGTCTTTCCTCGGTCCAGAGAGGTGTGGAGGGAAGAGCTGGAATACTGCATCCAGTTCAACCAATGGTTGTCTCTTCTGCTTCAACTTTGCTGCCGTCTGACCAGTTGCTTCACTCAACACCTCTCCAGGAAGACAGGCAGAACAAAGTTCAGGAACATGTCTGGAAATTGAGTTGGGAGTTTGAGGTATTAAAATATTTGGGTCTGCCGAGGGGCTTGAAAAGTTGTCCCAAGAGCCAGACTTACATAAACAAACTGGCTTTGATGTGACTAAAGCATATTCCGGACACGTTCCTGCCTGGGATCAGATCCCTGGCTACTTTTTGTATCCATATGGCATATCTATACAGAGTGCCAGGATGCCAGCATTCCTGGAAGGCCAAAGCTTAAGAGCTAGATTTAATTTCTGAGCCGTGTAGAGACATTTCACATGGACACGAGCTGTTCTCGGGCACCTTTTGGAATTCCAGAGTGAGTTAAATTGCCTGTGCAGATGTATCCAGAGCAAATAGAGAATTAGAAGCAGAGGCACAGGTGGAAAACAGCATGTCCAGAATGAGAATTTTTGGTTAATGTCTCCAGGAGAGTGAAATCAATTCGCTCAGTGCCTTTTAACCTGGGTATATCTAATACCATAGTCTCAGCTGGAGTGAGAGTGTAGCTTCCAGTAAAGTATCAGCATTTAATACCAAGGAACTTTGTCCCTGCTGAAGTTGGAGTCTTTCTCATTGAAAGTTTGTCACATGTAAGAAAATACTCCAAGTTTTCTCACTTGCCTATTTTTTTGGCTCCAAGAAAAATGGGAGTGACAGTGAAGTATGTGCATTAATGTAATCAGGGCCCAAAGGTTCAGGATCTGAGTTGAAAATGAAACCATGCAAAGAATGCATTGTCTCACCCATATATGCAAATATTACCATATTGGGCAATAGCTGTGGTGTGGGGGTGAAAAATAAGGAATCATTTGAAACATGCTATTGGTCACATCCTAGCAATATTAGTTTTTTCTAGGTTAGAATATAGAAATCGTATGTCACTTGACAGATCAAAGGTAGTTGATAGCAATGGTAGCTTTGCATTAACTTCCCTGTCATTGGATCAGCTCCTGAATTTGCTACAGCACTTCCTTCTGTTATTTCTTACAGGGTTAGAAATTTCTTTTTGACCCACGAGACTAAAAATGCTTATTTTATTGATTCCTCAGTGAAGAGAGATTAGAGCTACTTGTGGTTGTGAGAAGTAGTAGGTCCTTTGAGGATGTAAGAGTTGGTCAGTCTCAGTTTAAGCAGTACTGGTAATGTTGATAAAAAATATTATGTTGGTGATGCAGGAAAGGAGTCCTACGGCTTGGATTTACTCCATCAGAAAAGCCTTTCTTTAATACCAGAGCAGCAGAGAGAGCTTTTCTCATACAGGGGATATGAATTTTTTATTGGTGAAAGAAAAATCTGAAAAAATCATTATGAGATGGGCAGAATTTTCCTTTTCCTACTGAAAAGTAGGAAATGTTATGTTACATGTTTATAAGATACCAGCTGATCAGGAACGCAGGGCAGCACATCGCTCCTTTTGCACTGTTGATGAGCATAGCTCGGTGTAATCTTTATAAAATCAATAGTCATCTGAAAATGTTGGGCTCTTGTTGGGTAAAGGTGCTGGGGAGGTGGTGTGAGATGAGCTCTGGAGGACCTGCTTAGTGGAGCCTTGTCGAAGGGGGCCATCTACTGGGCCCCAGCCCCGAGCCTGGGGCAGAGTCACCAAGGAGGAACCTCAGGTACAGTTCAGCAGGGACCATCCTCAGAGAGATGGTCAGAGATTTTCAGGGGGCAAAATCCTGATTAGAAAGGTCAGTTCATCAAAACCAAGGCTTTTTTGCAAGATACATTGAGTTTTTTCTAGTAATACAGTGAAATCTGGCGAAGCTTCAAAACTGCAAAAAGTTTTGACCTTTATTTAAGGGGAGAAAGTGTTAGAGGAGAAGACTTCTTGTTTCTCTTTTAATGGAGAGTTTTATTCTTTCAAAACAGACACAAATAATAAGAAGAATAAATTGAAATAGTCAAAATAAAAGGGGAAAAAATTTATCGAATGGAATTGTTTTTACCTGGTTTCTGATGCCCACATTGTATGTGACATTTTGTCCCTTCAAACAGCAGGGGGGAAAATTTGCATATAAAATGCATTTTATGAACAGGAAACAGTTTTGTCACCCTGTTTGTTTACCATCAGTGTACTTGTACACTCTCGGCTCTGCATCCTTTACGAAAAGATTTCACAGGCCGAAGAGACATTCACTGCTGTGCTGTAAGATAATACCCCAACTGTTATTTATTCTACATAGAAGAATTCAGGTCTAACCTGTAAAGCACTGAAGAAAGTGAAACAGAAAGTAGACTGATATTTGCTTTTTAAAATTTATTCCTCTTTAGTTTCTCTGCTTGCTCTTGCAAGAAAGTCAAGCAGGCAGACCAACTGACCGATAGTGCCACTGTGGTTGTGGTGGTTGGAGCACATGCTCGGCAAGTAGCAAGTAGTAGGGGTTAAGTACTCCCCAGTGTGCAACTTCACCTGTTGCTCTAGTTTAAATATAAATCCTCCCTTGATTAAACATTTCTGAAGCTTAGAAGTGGGAAAAAATAAAGCAACAGCTTAAGCACGGAGCGGAGAGACACAAAGGCATCTTGGAATTGTGGCTGGGAGGGAGAGCACACAAGGTCCTGGGGAGGGATGCATTGGGCTGCACTGTTGGTTCCATGAGGGGTATTTCTGCATTCTACCAAGAGACTCATCACAGAGCATGGCAGGAGGAAGGAGTGGAAGGAAGGGCAGCGGAGGTGGCTGTTGTGATGTGCCAAGAATCCTTCCCCTTCAAGCAATGAGTGCAGCAGACAAGGAAAACAGGATTTGTCTTGAAACAATACAATTATGGCCTTCAGGTGGTAGGTTTTGAGGGTCCTTCCACCGCAGAGAGACAAGAGAGCCCCTCAGTTCCCCACTGCCTATGCTGGTGTCATAAGTAACATATCCCCATCTTGGTTTTCCATGGGATCCTCAGAGTAGTCACTGTCTTGCTGGGCAAGGCAGGCTGACTGCAGCTGTTGCATCAGCATACTCAGTAACTGCCTCATTGACCATCTTCGCTGGAACAAAATCCTTGCAGGGTTGTGGTTTTTTCCCTCTCTCTTAAGATGGTAAACTATACAATGTCCTCTATGTGAGAGACAGTCTGTCTTTATAACGGAGCTTAAGCTGATGCAAGTTGTTACTCGCATTGTTCACGTTGTAGTGCAATGGTGGTGGGCCCCACTTCAGAAGACTTTAATTCCCCTTACACACAGAATTTGCTGGCAGGCACAAAACAGGTGTTTTTGCCAACTTGCTGATGTGCATGTGGTAGGGGCAAAACACCGTTTGTAATTCTCTTTTGACATGCAGCCTATTGTAGCTGTGTTATGCTGTACATAGTAATGCACTGACTCTGCATAGCAATACATTGACTAACCACAGTCATTTGGTAAAAAGATTGGTGCCTTCCATCTCCTAGAAGACACACCGATGACATGCAACTAATACTTAACAGAGATAGACAGTAGCTCTGTCAGCAAACCTTCAGCAGCAGGACCCTTACAACCTTCTAAGCAATTCAGAATATATGACTTAAATAGCTACGGCACGTCCTGTGTAGCCTAATAAAATGGCCTCTTACCATCACAAATTCACAAAGAAGGTGAGAGCAGATTAACAGGTCAGGATGGAGGTTGAGCTGAAGAGGGGGGGGGCATGTTCTCGACACTGAGCTATGCATGGCATAAAATTTCAGCATGAAGAGAGCGACTGCAGTTGTAGCGTGGGTTTTTGTTGGCTGACTCTATACTTTCCTAGGATAGGTGGATTATTTTGAAGCAGCAAACTGAAAAGGCTGCATGTTACTACCTTTTCAGAGACCTGGAACAGGGTTTTTGTTATGTGAGGTAAAGCTTGCATGCCCTGTTTGTATATACACACCAGTTCAAAGGCACTCTTGTGCGATGGCTTTCTTCATCCTCCAAACTGGAAGGCCAAGTTTGTGACCTTGAGAGCTGTAAGACTATGCTGCTACAGTGTCAGACACACTGAAAGGTTTGTAGCTCTTGGACTGAACCACACACTGAAGAATTGCCCCCATTAGACACCATTTGCTTATTCTGTGATTCTGGTGTAACTCAGGGTATTCCAGGGAGAAAAAAGATCCCATTCATGCAATGCTGTCACACCCAGCTTTTGGGCTGGGCCTTCAGCAAGTAGAAATCATCTCAAGTTGCATTGTTATAAGAGTTGTTGTCCCTGTCCTTGTCCTTGGCTATTGAGGTGGTTTCAGCATTAACGCCTAATTCAGCATCTTCCTTTCCTTTATTTCCTCTCATTTTTTGTTCTCAACATCTGCCTTCAGCTCCTTTCCATCATCAGATGCCCACCTTAGTTTCTTGCCTGGTGCCTGTGCACAAACTGTCTTTTGTTTCTTCTAGCTGATTACTTTTCCTGGCTGGAGACAATAGGGACCCGTGTCCATCTCTGCTGTGCACTCAGGAGAGTGATGTTATGTTAGAGAGCTGTCTCCAAAACCTGCTTCTACTTGATCAAAGACATGGTCATGCTCTGTGTCTGCACATTGGACGGACATGAATTTTTCTTTTGCGTCCAAGTTTGAGAACAAGCTTTTCAGGACAAGGTGGGAATAGGATACTACTCATAAACTAATAAATGTGCAAAGCAATGCATGTTTTATCAGCTGCTGTTTCAAAAGGGAGGGCATAGCCCCATGCAGTAAGGGTTGAGATGCCTTTCTGGATTAGTGCTTTTCATTCTGTGTATATGGATTCACTGCCACTTCAGTAACCTTCTCCCCTCCCTCTTCTGGAGAATTAGAATACACCTACCCACATATGCAGGCAGGCACACAAGCTGACCAGGAACACATACCGACTCCCAAAACTACTAAATCACGTATGCTGCCACGACTGTGCTTGCAGGAGGGAAAGCAATTACCAGGCCTGGACTGAGCTTAATAGGAAGGGGGCAAGACTTTTAATAGTATTTTTCTGTGTAAGCACAAACATCCCCAGAAGCTGTGGCTGAGTTATAGGAATACAGTAAGCTTGCTGAGTAGGCACATGCTGCGTCAACAGGTAAAAGCTCTCAGTCCTCATAGTTTGTGAGCAGGGAAGGTGATACATCAGTCTGAACCTCACACAGATAACTCCTGGGTTACTGTGAGGTGGGGAGAGTAGCTGAGTCCTTAGAGGGAGCTGGAAGGAGAACAGCTGCTGACGAGCAAGAAGGCTTTGAGTAGGGGGAATCCTAACTCTGCTGGGTTGAATTTTCAAAAGCCTCCATTTTGGATTAGCGTATATCTTTAGGCCTGTGAATCAACTGATTTTCAGCATGAGCTAGGCCTTTGATGTTCTTGAAATTCCCACCCTTAATCTCTGGGGCAGGCTATGGTACAGCAGGTGCTGAGCTCTGTGTGTGTGTGATTAGTCCCAAGTGACTTCTCTGCCTGCTGTAACATTAACTGCAGTTGTGCTACCTTTCCTAAATACAGAAATCCAACTGCTTCCAATGGGACTCCTTGTGTCCTTGAAATGATGCAGCCTGATGAATCAAGAGGCTGATCTCTTGGGCCCTAATCCTACAAATATTTACCCATGGGCTTTAGCCCTGTTACAGGAATAGCCCAGTTGACTTTGGGAGATGAGACGTGTTAGTTCTGCTGAGCACTTGCGTAAGGCCTGGCAGGACCATAGTTCTGGTCCTTTTCAGGTTCCAGTCCATGAAATTAGTTTAATATTCTGCTACAGTCCCTTTCTCTGGAAAGGTTTGGATTTGGGGTCACTTATTTGTTTAAGCAAACAGTTATACTTGAATTTCTTATTGTAACCAAGGAGCTTTGACACTCTGAAGGAGAAAAATTCTCATGGTCCCTGCTTTGACAAGCCCTCAATCAAATTGGTGAAAAATATATCCATTCTAAAACAATAAATAGCACAGATTACACAGAAAATTACCTTTCCAGTTCTACAGCTCAACCTTCCCATGTCAAGTGTCATCTGAGAGCAGGTATTTCCAGTTCAGCAGCTCAGCCACTTATGTAAAGAAGGGACTGTAAAAGAATAGTTAGACCTTATCAGTTGTCAGAAAACTCTTTAGTGACTTGATTTTTCTTTATAAAATGTAATAACTGTCAGAGATAAAGAATATATCTCTCTTCCCAACTGGCAGCCAAGGGTAGCTGCAAAGGGCAAGCAGCATGGATACTCATAAATGTGTGATTACAGGCATTTCTACTGATGGAAAGGGGAATATTGATGCAATATTAGTCATTTTTATTGGCTTAATATTCTTCTTTCGTAGCAGCGTATCCAAACTGCTACATCTTTCTTCACATACAGTTGTCGTCCATCTAAGATATGCTATTGCTCTTTCCATTTCTAATCCAGAGCTCTCCCGCTCCTTGTGAAAAGCCAGAATATGAGGGTTTGGTGTTGTACATCTTTCCTGTTGATACCTCCTTGCCCCTGGAAGAATCACTTTCCAATTCCAGATTGTTGTGCAATACCTCCATCTCCTTCTCTATCATCTGCCCTGTTTCAAGTGACAATAGCAGGGGCCTCTTGAGACATGTTTTTCACTGTGAGTAGAACGGACATGGTTGTGTGTCCTCCCTGGGACACACCAGGATCCTGTGATGATAGCCCAGGGAAAGTGTGTGATGGTAAGTTGTTTATGAATGCATCACCCCAAGGCATTCTTTAAAGGAAAAGGTAATAGGTTTTCAATCCCAAGTCTTGGGAGCGAGGTAGTCAGTTGCAGTTTGTGAGTGCTGACAGAGAGACTTTGGAATGGACAAGTGGAAGGGAATCCACCAGTGTTCCTTTAGCACTGTGAAAAATAAATATGGCAAACAATGTCCTTGGAAGGAAACTGTTCTCAGTGTCTGCTCCACCTGCCTTTCCTTGGGTAAGAAGCAATGCTGAGAGTAGGCAGCAAACAGCTCCATCACAGACTCAGAGTGGATTTAACAGCTCTTCACTGGACTGGACTAGGCAGAGAGGGAGACCGGAGAGAACACTCTATGGGAAAGAGATCTCTCTCTGTTTAAAGTGCACACTCAAGAAGTTAAGATTCTCTTTTCTCCATGTCATTTCTGTTCCTGTTGGGGCTGTTTCCACCATTAAGCCTAATTACTTAGCTTTTTATGTGCTATCCATTTCTTTTCATCATTTTAAAAACTTCAGTTGCCATAACAACATAATGCAATCAGTGAAACATAACAGCTATTTTCTGTAGTCAAGGTCTGTGCACTGTCAAGGATGTGAGCCATTTAAGCAAATCTTCACCATCCCCCTTCCTCCCTCCTCTTTCTCGCTCTCTTTTTCTCCCTAAACAAGCTCATAACAGGAAGGAGAAACCATCAGGAATAATTAGACACAATAGCAGAGCAAATCCCAATCGTACTCATGCAGTCTAGTCTAATGAACTTCTAGCACTAATCTGGGAAGTGTTGATGTTCTTTTTTAATCACTTTTTTGATGTCATAGATAGATTAGTTGCAGCAGGACCTTGATATTCCACACTAGAGTCAGGAGACCCAGTGCCTATTCAGAGAAAAAGAAAATCAAAAGCATTACATACTTTGCTCATTTCTTTGTTTTTCATTCCTCATTTTCAGATGCTTATTGAGTATATATGCCCATTGCACCATATTAGTAAATAGAATGGAGTGTTTTTTGTAGATTCATGGAATTTAAGCATGAAAAGTCATAGCATCTATTATTAAATCATTGCTGGAAGGCTGGGAGAAACTGCCACGTTTTTGTGTGGGTGGTGAGACTCGCAACAAAGCATAGTATAAGTGCTGGGCTTCTACTGCACACATACATAAAAAGCAGTCTGAAAATAAATCTGGCAGTCTGGTTCAGTGCTATTCTAAGCAGTGTGAATATAAGATCTATACACAATGTCTTACTCACTCCTTGACCTCCATGAGGGCTTTCCTGGAATAGTAATGAGTGAGTTTTGAAGCCTGGGATTTGGCTTAAGCAGCCTCTCTCTGGCGGAGGACTGAAGGATGTGCTTTGCCTTTATGGAGCTAGTCTGCCACAGGCAGAGTCTTCTAGTGATTTCGAGTTGATCATTGCCTGATCACTCTTTCCACTTGTCTGTTTGTGTTTCAGCACCTTGTCCAAGCAAAGGAAGAATGTCATCAGCTGTGTCACCGTGCATGACTCCCCCTACTCCGATTCCTCCAGCAACAACAGCCCTTATGCCGTGCAACACCGTGCAGGGCAGAATAACGGGAACAGCTACGACACCAAAGGGGTTCCAGAGACTCACTGCAGTGGGAACCCCCGAACGATCATCGTGCCACCACTGAAAACCCAGGCCAGTGAGGTGTTGGTAGAGTGCGATAGCCTGGCACCAGGTAAATTGCACCTCTTCCGTCAAGAAAATTAGTAAGAAATAAATGATTTATCTTGGAAGAATCTCATTGTTCAGTTTCATTTTGTTTGTTTGTTTGTTTGTTTGTTTTGTTTTCCAAAAAACCCACGTGCTCCTACCCTTCTCTCAAGTGACACATCTGTTCTTGGGAGCCATATTGCATTATTTATGTACCCTGGTTCACTCAGGAGTCACGGGGGCAAGTGTCGGACCCAGTTAGTTCTGTACAAACCCAAGAACAGAATGCAGCCTGTAGCTCAACATTTGACATTAAAGGCTCACAAATGCAAGTGTGAACCTTTGCTGCCTTGCCTTTCCATAGGTGTATTTTAAAATGGGTAAGAGATTGAAAACACGTGTGAATTTTCATCCAAACTTGTTGATGTTTCTGGGAAGAACGTTTCCCCAGGATCTTCATTATGGACTGATGAGGTTTGCTCATCCAGAACCTCTGCAATGCTAGATAGTAGGATATGTTGAAAGAAGGTTTATGGTGGAAGTCTGGCATGAAGCAACTGGCTTTTAGCTACTTGGCAGTCCTTGCTTTTGATGCACTGCTGGTGAACACAAAGGTTCAAAGGGTGAGCCCCCCCCCAGCACCTTCTCCCTCCCTTCCCACTCACCTTGATGTTAGGCAAGACAGGGATTTTTTTATGCTGTGCACACCATACTTTCCTTCCTCTCCTTGGGATTTGTACCTGTGTTGTACAGTTCTGCTGGCAGAACAGTTTCTTGCACTTCTGAAGGGTCTATAAAGCCTTCTTCAGGCCTGCTTTGGGTCCAGTTATCAGGTCTGCTTGTCTGCCTCTAGGATAACAGGCTGGTCATGTATACGAAGGACTGCTGAGGTATTCTGTTAATTAAGAGAAACAGTTTTCTTACCCTGCTTCTGTTGTATGTCTCCTCCCAAAAGCCACTCTGGAGGAGACTCAGTGAGGAAAAGGTAGGGTGAGCAATTAAAGAATGTGATGTAAGCTACAAATGTGTTTCCTTTCCTGGCACAGTCACCACCAGTCACCACTCATCCTCCTACAAGTCCAAGTCCTCCAGCACCGTGACCTCCACCAGCGGTCACTCTTCAGGGAGCTCGTCTGGAGCCGTTGCCTATAGGCAGCAGCGACCAGGAGCACATTTCCAGCAGCAGCAGCCTCTTAATCTAAGTCAGGTAAGTCAGCCAAGACTGATTTTGGTGGTGCATCATCCAGCTGTTCCCTACTGCTCCTCCAGCACGGACTGTCCCCTTCCAGTCTAGTGATAGTTGAGCCCTATGTTGAGTTTGATCAGCTGGTTTTTACTTGACTGCAGACCTTGATCTTCCCACTCAGGCAGCAGAGGTAGTGCAGATCACACCCTTGAGTGGGCTAGTGGTAGGTACTCTTACCACATGTTCTGAAGTCAGATGTGAGTGGGAATAACAGTGTGAGTGGGAATAACGTGAGAGGGAAGTGCAACGGCTTGGCCCCAACAGAGTTGAGCAGGAGCACATAGGAAGGACTGAGTTCTCCTTAGCTATAGGTAGCCATGGGGAGGATATCTTGCAAGTGAAGTGCATAAGCCCAGCTGTGGGATTGGAAGAGAAGTCAAAGCAAAGCCTCTGTGCATACACATGACCTCATGAGCATATGACCTCATTGTGCATATACGTGACCTAGGAGTTTGATCCATCCTGTGATAAATGTGAGCTGAGATCTGGGCAAATCCCATTTCTTGTAAGCATACAGTTCTCAAAATGTTCCACAGTCTGTGATTAGACGGGAGCTTCAGTAAATAATCGCCTTTTCACATCCTGCACCAGGGGGCTCTTTCTTCCCTGAGGTGAGGTAACAAGAGTAGAGAAGTTACAGCACAGTTACCAGTGTTTGGAGAGCTCAGAGGACAGGTGGATGAACAGAGCTGTTTTTTAAAAAGAAAAGTAATTTGATGGAGAAGAATGTCCCCTCCCCCTCAAAATGGAAATGAAATTTAAAAATGTGAACAAATTTTAAATAAAAGTGCATGAAAATGGAGGAACTGGGCAAGATGCTGTTTGCAAGAGCTGGGGAGGAGTGTGGCTGCTGCATTTCAGACCACAATGACAGCGCAGGGCGTGCTTGCAAAGAGGGTGAGAAGGTTTGGAAGAATAGACGGAAACAGCATGGGGCATTTTCCTTCTTGCCTTCTAATTCCTACTTTATGGGTAATTTAATGCTCTGACTACAAATGACAGGGAAAACTCCTTACATTATTATGCAATGCAAGAAAACAACTTAGAAAATCCCTGGAAAAAAAGTGCATTGCTCCTGTCCCACTGCAAGAAGTTGCCTGTGCTCAAGTAACTATAGCAGATTACATGAGGGCACCAGACACCTGCAGGATCTGATCAAACCAAGGGTTGTATCTCTAAAAAATAACATGGTTATTTTTACTAACCAAGGAAATTATTAACTGCAAACACCCAAACTGAGCAAAAATAAACTGCCTGTTCCAGGCATAGTTAGGCAATTTCATTCCCCTGAGCTGTCTGCACAGTACATTTTGTCAGCAGAGAGTTCACTAACAAAAACCATGTTTTGTGTGAACAGCTGGACTTGTGGAAGATGTTCTTGGGAGCTGAGCATCCAAAGCTGTGCCAGCAGCTTGTGGCTCAAACTGAGGGACTTGTGACCTCTTGGGGGGCATTTCAGTCAATGTAAGAAACTACAGGGATGATGTATGAAACCTAGGCTTGAGAGGGACTCATTGCTGTCACCCGTTTCCAAGGGAAGACTGGTGGTGCTGCGGGTGTCAGGAGGAGCACAAGAGACTTCCCTGAGGCAGTCCTGGTGTTGCAGGGAGGTTCCCAGGCACTACTGAGGAGGTGAAGAGCCATCTCTCGTGTTGTAACTGCTTATCACTGTTGCTGTCTTTATCCAGGCCCAGCAGCACATCACGACCGACCGCACAGGGAGTCACCGGAGACAGCAAGCCTACATCACTCCAACGATAGCTCAGGCCCCGTACTCTTTCCCGCACAATAGTCCCAGCCATGGTACAGTTCATCCCCACTTGGCCGCGGCGGCCGCTGCTCACCTGCCCACCCAGCCCCACCTGTACACATACACCGCCCCCGCCGCCCTGGGCTCCACGGGCACCGTCGCGCACCTGGTGGCCTCCCAAGGGTCTGCACGGCACGCGGTGCAGCACACCACCTACCCCGCCAGCATCGTCCACCAGGTCCCTGTCAGCATGGGCCCGCGCGTCCTGCCCTCACCCACCATCCACCCGAGCCAGTACCAGGCTCAGTTTGCCCACCAGACCTATATCAGTGCTTCTCCAGCCTCCACAGTCTACACTGGATACCCACTGAGCCCTACCAAGGTGAACCAGTACCCTTACATCTAAACACTGGAATAAAAGAGCAAGAGACGCACCCATCCCGGGGGGAGTGAGGCAGCCGCTTTTGTATTGAAGAACATGAGAAACTTAACAATGCAATGGGAGGCTCGTGTGAAACTTGAACGAAGGAGACTTTAAGGAAGAAAAGAAAAAGAGGAAAGAAGGGGGAGAACCAATTCTACAATTTTTATTTAAAAAAAAAAAAAAAGAAAACGGAAAAAAAAAGAACAGAAAAAAAAATAAACCACAAAAAACCAACCATTCTGCACCAAACTAGAGAGAAAGAGAGAAGCAGAAGGACCCTCCCGCGGGTCTTGTCTTTTGAAGAACTTCACCAACAGACTTTTAAAGGTTATTTTCATCCAATAGTGAGCTACATTTAGAAATTTGTTGTCCAAAACACCTAAAATGAAATCCATTAGGTTTTTAATCCTATAGGTATATGGATTAGGGATTTATCCAGCTTTTCAGAGGGTTTATACCCCACCTTTGCAGTGGTTTTTGTATCCCAAAGTATACACAAGTTTTGGTGGATTTTTAATGGAAAAAGAAAGTGGGTAAGGGAGGCTGAGGTAGGAGGATAAAATGTTGTCCCAGTGCTCTAAATTTGGACCTAACACTGCTACATTTAAACGCACCTGGGCAAATCCGGCCATGCAGCATTGGTTGAGAGCAGAAGCAACGGGGGTATTTCTCCCTTTTCTTGAACACACTGGATAAATCCCTGAGAAATACTGTTCCTAAACAAGATCTCTAATAATGTATGTTGGATTTCAGTTGCGTTTTATTTTAGTTTTTTTTTTTTTGGAAATGTTCCTTTTTAATCCCTAGCCGTTTTAGTATAGGAGGAGACATTTTAGCTGCCCCCAGCCCTCTGCCCCCAGCCCCGGTAGAATGTAGCACTATACAGGTCATACCCCTTTTTACTCTTTTGTGTTGAACTTCAACGATACCAATAGACTATTCCTCAATGTGATTGCACAAAGAAAAGTGATATAACATAGGCATGTAACAAATGTGATTGTCCAGGTATGTGCGTGTGCGTGCGTGTGTGTGCGTGTGCGTGCAGATGCTGCCTTCTCTCTGTGGTGTGTTCCTCGGCACAGCCATTACAACTGTCACAGTCTTAGTTTTACATCATTCCCTCGTAGTGCCTTACCGAACTACAGACGCGGTTTAAGGGTTTACTTCCACTGGTACTCCTAGAAACTGACTGAGGCTAGTCGGAATTTACTCTCAGCTCTTTTTCTTCTCTTTTTTTCTCTTTTCCTTTTTGTTTTGTTTGTTTGTTTGTTTGTTTTGTTGGTTTTTTTTTTTTTTTTGGGTTGTTATTGCCGATTTTCTCTTTCTGCTGGTGGTGTTGGGGTTTTTTTCACGTCGTCAATCTTAGCTCACTTGGCGAGGTGTTGGGGAGGCTTGTTGGGGTCGGAAGTGTGTAAAACTGAGTGTTTTGTCAAGCACTGGATGGGCTGGAAGTGACCGGGTCAGTTGTGAGACCCAGGGTGACTTCCAGGGGGTCTGGGGATTTGTTCCTGGACTGGTCTGTTTTTGTCCTGTTGAAATAGCAGGTTTCCTCCCCGGAAACTGAATTCTCATTCTGCTGTTTGACGATGTTCTTGATGGAGTGGGAGGACAGCGTCCACCCTCATCATTGGGTTGTCCTGGTTGTGTGTCTGAAACGGGAACAAACATTTAGCCCTTGAAAGGGGGAAACACTAGTTGTTGCCAACATCTCTCACTGTTGATGAGAAGGGGTCAGGAAAGGGCTGTAGTCCCAAAGCAAGCATGAGAAAATCCAGTTGAGAGAGTCAATCTCAGGTTTCTTAAGTGAAAAGAGTGTTTTAATACATCAAGCCTTACCCTTTCTAACAGAGCTGTGACACTGCGTGCCTCCCCTCCTCTCTTCTCACCTACACCTCAAAAAACTGCCTGCAGCGGCAGAGTGACCCTGGAACTGGAGAGCACAGCGGTGCTGCAGTCCTCCACACGAAGGAATGCTACACGGTCGTCTTGTTTTCCAACAGTTTTTAAAGAGAGCCTTTCCTGTAGTTGGTTTGGTTCAGAGGGGAATTTCCCTGGTAGCTACAGTTTCACTGGTGCATCAGTACTTGGAAATGTCTCAAGAGTACCCATGCATGTGCATGTCCTGAGGAGGAAGGAGAGAAAGGAATTTAGTAAAACATTTCCATGAAAGCTGAAGTCTGTGTGGCTACTTGGTTCCACTCTACATTTCCCTGTAACTAGAGCGTGAAGTAGTCAGGTATTTTGCAAGATGCTGGAAAATAGCAGGTTCATTGGCAGGGTGGTAAGGGATAGTTTCCCTGAGTGGAAGTGATGAAGAAGGCTCTCTCAGGTTGGAAAAGCTGACAGAAAGACAAGCACAATATATTGGCTTGTGGTAACTGCTTGGCTGGCCTGGAAGAAGAAGGGATCCCACTATGCATAGGCTGTTCAACAAGGCTGTTGTCTTCTGGCAAACCACCAAATAACCTCCCTGGTTGCCAGCTCTGGTTCCTGGGCTACCCTTGCACAGTTTTCTTTTCCTGCCTATCCTTCATTCCAGCTCAATATACTGTAGATGAGGATGCAATCTCCCAGCAGCCTATGCACCTTACTCCCCCTTTCTTTGGAAAGACAACATGTCCCCTTTCACCTGAGACAGGAAAATAAAGCCCTGCTCTCTCTCTCTTGCATTCCTCTCCTCTCCCACCAGTTCGGGAGCGAGAGCGTCATGCTGCTTATGTCATGAAAAGGAAAGATAATGTTATTTTATTGTATGGTTGTTACAATTATGATTATTATTTTATTATTATTGTATTTTACTCTGGGTTTTAATTGCACACGCATTCCTTAAACTCTGTAGGGTTTTTTTTTCTCTTAGTATTGTTGTTACTGTTCTTAATTTTATTTCTCTTCATCAGTGGCATTGGAGGGGTTGCTGTGATTGTGAGAACTGCAGGAGAAAGGAGGAATGAAATTATTCCGAGGATGAAAACTCTGCCACTAACCTGGGGGGTGTGGGGCCACTCTGTGAGAGTGGTTACAGCCTTGAGGAACAGGAGTTATCCTCTCGGGTCACATCTGCATTTAAGAATAAGTCCAGAAAACATTCATTCAGAGGCCAAAACCCAACAGCAGCTAACATAATGATCTGTCAGGAGAGCTGGATCAGAGGCAGGTAAGGACCTTGGTGCCTCAGGATCCAGCTCACCATCACTCAGTTTGATAGGACATTTATATAAGATTAAGACTTGTCTGTGCTCCAGGCCATGATCATTGGGCCCTGTGGATGAGTTCAAGGCCACGCTACATGTTAAGGGTTTGGTTTTCCTAAAGCAGAAAGCAGATAGGTGGCTCTCCAGAAACAGGAGTATTGAAGGAGCCACGGCAGCCACACGTGTGGCTCAGTCCCATCACTGGATAAAGCACACTGGTGCAGATGGATGGCATCAGCTGGGTAAAGCATGGCTGCAGGCAGGGCAGTGTTCCTCCCCTGATCTTCCACTCTCACTGAAGGTTAGATGTCCACAGGGTCAGGATGTTTGGTTTGATTTTTTTTTTGTTGTTTGTTTCTGATGTAGATTTTCCCTTCTTTTGTAATTATTTGTTGTGGAATTTTGTTAAGCTGTTCTGGTTGCTACAGTTTAGATATTTATGGTTTCGTTTGCGTTACCTGCTCTGTTAGAATAGGGGGAAGCAGTGACTGAATTTAAATTCCATTAAAAAATTACAGGACTTCAGCAGAGACTGAAAGTTAATCATGTGCTTGAGTGCTTTACTAAAGAACAGACTTAAACCCTTCAAGTTAAATACTTGTTTATATGGTCCTGTAGCCTAGGGCCAGTGAAATCACAGTAATGTTTTACTTGTACTAATTGCATTTTCCCTGTGTTCCCATCTGACCTGCTCTCCCTTGTGGGCTCAGATCTGATTTTGGGGGGCTTTTGGCAGTGGAGCTGTTACAACAGCACAGGATGGCTGTGAGGAGTGCAGTGCGTATCGGAGGAGCCACTTTTCACGTTGTCCATCCTGGAGTTGCTGGTCTGCCAGCTGTAGGTGGTCAGATGATAGCGGTGATGGGATGCTGATTGCAAGAGATGCACAGCAGAACCATCAAATTGCTTTGATGGTGAAACACTGTGTGAGAGCTGTTTTCTGGCAGGTATGAGGGAGCTGAGCAACACCTCCTCCCTCACACCTGTACAAAGGCATTGTATGGATAAAGGTGTGGTTGGTCACAGGGGAAGCAGTCATTTCAGCAGAGGAAGCAAAAGCTTTGCATGCTGTCAGTACCACACACATAACAGCCAGCTTGTTGTGTTTGCAGAATCCTTTGGAGAGGAAATAGGATTGGCATGATTTGGTTCAGTTGGTGTTCCTTGTGTGCATAGGGTAAATGGCATGGAAACTTGAGGGGGGAGGCGAATGTTTAAATGCTGGAAGTTTTATGGGTGGCTTATGGCTGGCACAGTGAGAAAGTGTCCTTTTCCCCATCATCTTGTCTTGCATTCTTCTTGTGCAGAAAGCACGGGCGTTGCCGCTCCTCGGAGATGGATGTTCAATTTCCTGCTGTGAAGCCAGAATGCAGGAGGGAGGGGAGAGAACTGCCAACATGAGCAGATTGGAAAACCCAAATGGAAGCACTTCTCACTGTAGATTGGGTCAAATCCAGTCATTAGAGAGAGCAAATGCAATTCCATCTTCCTCAGCAGAGTTTTACCTGCTTGTACCCAACAAATTGGGCCTTGGCAGGTCTCTTACTCTCTCTCTTTCCCTAGTAGTTTTGTCATGATATGTAAAACATTCCAAGAAAGGGACACTTCTGACTGTGACATTTTTCCTTTTTTTATACTTTCAAGGAATTGTGTCTTTTTAGCTTGGTTTGAAGGCAATTCCGTTAGAAAATTTGAAGGGCAATAAACCTGTTTTTTCTTTAACCAAAGATACTTTTTTTTAAGAAAGAGAGAAAGAGACCCCCACCTATTCCAGAAATTAAATGAAGCCACGAGTCATGAGCACCAGGCAATGAGGATACTCCGTGGAATTACATTTTTCTGTTCCCTTTTTTTTCTTTTTCTCTCTCTCTCTCTCAAGTTTCTGCCATTGTTTTGAGTACTAGCCTGATGAGCAGAGAAATTCACACTAAATATTGCTGCTATCCTAAACTGTAGGGGATGTCAAAAGTGTTTTTCTTCTCTCGTTATTGTTCTCATTGATTTAAGTGTTGTAGTGGTGACAATGCAGTGTGGAAATGGTGAGCTGTGTAGTGGGGATAAGCTTCTGGATGCTCTGCATGCTTCTGTAGTGTCTCCTTCTCTGGATTTAGGATGCTGGGTTTGTTCTGTGGGTTGGACCCCAAACAGTGATGCCATGGTCAGGACAGGCACAGCGGGGCAAGGGTATTGGACTTACAC